ACTGGACTCTATTTTGGGAGATGACAATGACAAATAAACTGGAGCAATCACAGCCTAGTGGAAGGCGTGTCGACTCTGAAGTTTTGAAGAAGTCCTGAACTCAAATTCTAACTCTCATGACCTAACTTGCTATGTGGTCTTTAGTTCTCTGTAAAATGAGGCTCAATACCAATTACTCTGCAGAGTTATTTTGAGGATTAGAAATTATAAAAGTTCTGCCCTGGCCAGTGTGTCTCGGTTGGAGCGTCATCCCATGAACCAAAAGGTTTGATTCCCAGTCAGGGCACATGACTGGGTTGTGGATTCAGTGTTTCTTTCTCAATCAATGTTTCCCTTTGTCTCTAACACCAACGAGCATGCCCTTGGGTGAGAATAATAAACAGTGGTTAGAGAAGGGACCCTGAAGAACTGAGCGGGCAGAGGTGGGCCAGTTTGTTACGAAGGTGTTCCCACAACACCGCCACTCAGGCTCTGAACTCACTGCAGGGCGGTTCTGGCGGAGACAGAAAAATGCGAAATCAGCACATACAATGGATTTCGGATGGGCTAAAAAAACCTAAAAACTATTCCTAAAACGGTGCATGACTTAAAACATCTGAAAGGTAAAAGCCTGCAGGAAACAGAGGGAGAGGTTTTGAAGGCCACACGGCGGAGCCAGAAAAGGCAGCCTGTCCTCTGCCGCACTCCGCTGCGGCCAGGCACACGGACAGCAGTCCTGCCCTTCGTCGGCGCGAAGGGCGCTCCGGGTAATGCTCCCTTTACATTTCTGATGTAACACGCAGCTGAGGTGCAGTGATTGTTTTAGTGATCCTCACAGATGCCCGAGTCATTAGCACACAGTTATCTTTCTAACATGCACATGAGAGTTATGCACGCAGGCATCAGGTCACCTCACACACTACAAACCAGAAGGATTTTGCACCAGGAAAAAGTCACACTACCCAGAATGAGCAGTTTCCTAGATTCAGTATCAGAGGCATCAGAAAATACATACATAGCTTGTAAAACAAAGAATAACAACAATGACAAATCCAAGTAATACTTTTGCAAACCTACATCTAAACAGCACACCATCATGTTCTACATACAGAACGGATATAAGTTCCATCACCTGAATTCATCCACACCATGGCAACAGTTAATACTAAAGAAGGGGGAAATTATCTACAGACTTCAAGCAAGAGGACACTGCAGCCCCCCATCATCTGCAGGAGATACATTCCAAGATCCCCAGTGGACGCCTGAAACTGCAGACAGTCCCGAACCCTGTGTAGGAAACTCTATGTTTTTTTCCATGCATACACCCTACGATGAAGTTTAATTTACAAAGTAGGCACAGTAAAACATTAACAACAACAACAACAACAAAACAGAACAACGATAAGAATACACTGTCATCTCTTTGGTAATTGAGATGGCGATTCAGTGACTAACAACAGGTGAGGGTAGGGTGGACAAAGGACAGGGTGGGACGATTACTCCTTTGTCCTACGCACAGGACAAAGGAGTAATTCACCTCCGGTGGGTGGCATGAAGTATCGTCCCCCTGCTCATCATGGTGCAGGGGGTGAAACTTATGTTTATTTCTGAAATTTTCCAGTTAATACTTTGGACTGCAGCTGACCACGAGACGCTGCGACTGCGGGAAACGAAAAAACCACGGACGGGGACGAGGGACCCACTGCACTTCCTGAATGACGAATCTAGAAGTCGCAACTCCCAAAACCTCACCATTTCCCAAGTGCAGTGATGAAAGAGGGTAAAACAAGATCTGAAAGGATACGTCAGGGATATGAAGGGGAAAGAGTCAAGTCATCTTTAGGACAGAGGAGTCGAAATGGGAAGGCAATAAAAAATTTTAGTTTCTAACTATGGAGAGTGAGAAGGGGCCAAAAAGAACCCGCGATGGAGTGACTGAATGTGAGGCGGTCAGACTCAGCATCCAACCAACTTCTGGCTGCATCACCTGAAAGCAGATCAGGATGGAATCGAGTCCTGGGGACAGAACAAAGGTGAGGTCGGAGAGGCCCGTTTTTCTAGGAGGTGCCAAAGAGGCTTATCAGAATGTAACTCTCCTGTGGAAGTTACCGTCTTGGCTTAGAGATCAATTTTCAACACCTCTACCTAACTCCATTTGAAATTTCACATGGCTCAGTGTTCTCAGCCTAAGCTGCAAAACTAAAACAGCCTGGGTGTCTTTTTAAAAACAACAGCGGCCAGGTCCTCCCTGAACTTCTGTTCAATTGCCCTGGGACTGGGCACAAACGCTAGGCAGTATTTTTTAAAACGTGGTACTAATTTTGCAGGTGGAGCTGCGAACCGTGAGGCTGAAACAAAGGTGAGCAGCTGCCATGTCATTAGCAGCACTCCCGCCTCCTCTCCAGCCAGGTTCTGTTGGAAACAGGGAGGAGGCCGCAGCCGCAGGCTGGAGGCCTTGTGACTGACGGCCCTTCTCCATCGAACACGGAGCTGTAACCCAGTGCCAGGCGACCAGATAACTCTCCTCCTGGCCGTACTTTAAATGGGGGTCTGGGTCAAATTCTACCACTCCTAGCAACGCCATTCTTCCTAGAGAGTAAAAGAAAGACTTTTAACAAAATAAGAGTTTCTTGCCCTCCCTCAGTTAATTTGAGGCACTGGAGGGGCCGGGAGTGTTCACTACTGCAGGAGGGGGAAAAAGGCATCTGGGTCCGCCAGCAGGAACAGCGTGAACACCGACCGAAGAGGTGCTCACAGATGCTCTATGAACTCGCTGTGCGAACTGAGGCCCAGGAGCCCGGGAGCCTGTCAGAAACGCAGCCTGGAAGGCCTTGCCCCAGGCCAACGAAACGAGAATCTGCCGTGTAGAAGCACATTCCAGTCTGAGAAGCACTTGTATGAGGCAAGAGTGCACTCGAGAAATGGTACTATTTTTTCCTCCTTAAATTAGGTCATTTGCATAAGAACAATAAAAACACTTTGAAAGCGGCCCAGTGCCGGCCCCGAGAGGCTCAGCTTCCTCACAGGCACAGCCACAGGGAGGCGCCCCTCCCTCGTGGTGCTCTCTTAAGAGTGACCTGGTTTCAAAGGGTTTGTACTCCTCTTCACCTTCATCTCTGGGGTATATTTATATACCCGAGTAAGTTAAAGAAAACTGTGTTACATACTTTCTGGCGCTGTGACATCAAGTGTATCATTTTAAAGTCAGAAAAAGCGAAAATTTAGAATTACATAGGAACACTGCTGGGCCTACGTAGCAAAGGCTACGTATTTTGAAATCCAGCTTCCTCCGCCCCCTGGGAAAGAACACCCTTCACAGAAAAGAAAAATAAAAAAGGCTAACGTGCGACGCTGGCCACCACAACCTCGGGCAGTTCTAGCTGTTTTCTATCTAACGCAATACTTGTGAGAATCCCAACATGTGACTGAACAGCTATGTAAAATAAGAGAACTAACTGGTTTTAGGGGCCAGCAAGAGCCAATACAAAGCCAAAAAGAAATCACACATCTCTTTCCTTCCATGCTAAGGTGGGTCAAGAAACAGCGCAGCATCCTGGGTCAGGAGGCATCAAAACACAGGGCCTCTTCCTCCCTCCATCCTTCCAGCTGGATTTGTCCTTCTTAGGTACAGCAAGCCACCAGGGGAACGAATAAGCAGGACTAGTAACCACAGAATTGAGGAGGATGTAACATTTAACTTGTGGTTGATACACCAACAGAAGAGTTACTCCAGTGTTTAGAAAGGATTTCTGCAAGTGCCCATGAGTATTTCAGTATCCGTTTGTCAGTGTTCTGTGTCTCTAAGGAGGCTGCACAGTAATGCAAAAGGATCATGTGAGGAAGCTACTGTTCTTACATAATCAGCAAACTGCACGCACCGCAGACACGAGTATGGAAGCAGATACTTACGCTCCCTAGAAACACCAGGGAGCGCACAATCGTGCCGCCGCACTGGCGTCCGGGGCTCGGTCAGCGCAGACTCTGGAAGCAGTGACTTTCCCTTAGTGGATGTATCTGCAGAGGCCGTCACAGCTGCAAGACGGACACTGCTCACGCGGCGGGAGAGAAAGTGCCGTGTGTGTTGCAGAAAAGAAGGCTGTTCTGTTTATGTAACCTGAGAACACACATTTTCGTCTCTATGGCATCTGCCTTCCAATTTCTGATCTTAAGAAATAGATCACTTGTCGGGCACCTTCCTAGTCTTCAGGGTGACAAACATCTATGCGAGTGTCTGGCTGAAAGAGCCCATCCGATGCCGTCACAGATAAGCACGGATTCTGCAGGGAGCTGTGTGACGAGACCTGTCATTTCTCTGGCCTTCTCTACACAGTAAGAAGGTCATCTTTAGTATTTCTCATTTATCTTGTACAGCAACAAAAACTAATTTTGGTTCCCACTGGTGGCACATATTCAGACACTCTGAACTTTCGAGCCTTTTAGTATTAGAATCCTGGAAGCTAATTAAATTGGAGGTGTGATGGGGGCAGGGGACTGGTGGTGAGGAAGCAATTCAGCAGTGCTTCCTGATAAAGGTAGTAAAGGTGTGTTGTAAATATAAATAGCTGCCTCAACATCTTTTACAGTTAGGCCATAAGCCAATAAAGTATTAAAAAGGCAAAGGTTTGAAAGCCTCAAAAGAGGATGATCTCTACGAGGTCACCCAAATGCTACGCAGGTGAAAAGGACAGCTTCGGGGGCTGTCCAGAGCTAAGAAGCGGGAGCAGTACCGCGCTCTGGAGAGGGCACTAAGCACCAAGGCTGCTGGGTGGCTAGTTAACATCTTCTGCCTGGATGCAGGGCGACAAAATGACCCTGCACGCTCGCAGGCATATCCCACACGGCTGCTGGACAGGACCCTTAATTCTCCACAGGTAAGCCGTTCTGTCCCTTATCAAAGGACAAAGCTCTGCATATCATGGAATCAAGGAAGGATCTAGTTCTAAAAAGCTGAATCATTCAGAGTTCCTTAGCATATCGAGAATTAAAAACCACGAAGGGAAAGAAGGAAGAAAGGTGCTTACCAGGCTATCTAGTCCTCCTCCCAGGAGGTCCACTGCTCCCACCTGCATGGAGGATACCTGCGGCACATTGACTGGGGGGCCGAGGTCAAGGTTTAAAAGGTCTCCCAGAAGGTCACCTTGAGAGGGAATAACCTGAGGCTGCTCCAGGTTGGTGGCAGTGGTGGTGCCAACAGGGCTGTCACCAGCATCGGTGCTGCAGTCACACACACAAAGAAGGCAGAAAGGTCAGTTTCACCTGGGGCATAACAACAGGCAACAAGTGAATGTCAGACATGTAAAACACAGGAAGAAACCAACCTCTTAATTTATAATAATTTGCTGATACGCATGAAGAGATACTGGCTAGTCTTGTTTTTATCAAAATACAGTCGCTAAAATGAAAGTAAGTGTATGCTATGTAACGTCATTAGCCGGCCCACTTTAATTGTTCTCAAGCAGCTTACACTCTAACGACAAAGCATCAGCACCCACAACCGCCTGACAGGGACATCCACCGCGCACGTGTCTGCCACCGACAGGACAGAGGGGAGGCCACGCAAAAAGAACCAGGTGGGGCCAACTCTGCGGGCTCCTGCGGACAGTGTAACAACCGGATTGTGAAGAAGAGCACAGCGATGAGGAGCTACTCATCACCGGGGAAAGAGCTTCCGAAACGGAGGGGACCGTGTGTGCAAAGGCACAGAAATGAACCAACTGGTGTCCGGGGGTGAAAAACTCTCGGCAGGAGCAGAGCCTGAGGGCGGTAAGATCTGGGGGGAGGAGACAAGGAAGATGTGACTTTGAAAAGGGTCTGGAGGGTTAGTTTCCTGTGGCAGATGACTCGAGTCGTTTTGTTTGGGTGGACAAAGAACTAAAGATAACCTGGGAGGAACACTATTCTAGCAGCTGTGTACAACGGGCGGAAGCCGTGAGAATGGACACAAGGACCAGCTAAGAGTCTCTAAGCTGCTATGGCCACTACACTGTAAAAGTAACAGGGAAGTGGTGCGTCCCAAGAGGTGCTAAAAAACTAGAGGAAATGATCTTTTCAGTAAGTGGAGCTGAGTCAGCTGGACAGCTGTGTGGGGAAAATGAGGTGGGGCCCTGACACCTCAAATTAAAATTAATAAAAATCACCTTTAATAAAAATTAAAGAGACAAATCAGATGAATGTGTCCAGGAAAATCTAGGCAAGTATCTTGGTGACTCTGGAGTAGACGAGTTTCTATAAAAGGTACTAACCATTAAAGAAAAAAAATCCATGAACTGGACTCGTTATAATTACGAGTGTCTCTTCTTCAAACGACACCACTAGGGGAAAGTGGAGAAGGTGACGCTCCATAAATGGGAGAAAACGTTTGTTAACACTCATCTGACAAATGCCTTACATCCAAATTATACAATGAATTTCTACGAATCATTTACGTATTATATAAAGAATTCCTACAAAGGAAAATACAATTCATTTAAAAAATACGGGAAATATCAGGCACGTCACAGAAGGGGCTACGCCAGCCGTGGCTCACCTGGAACCCGCACGACGCCTGGTTGGAAGGAGGGAGCTTCGGTGTGATCACCTGAGGACACTGGCAGTGTCTCCTGCACCTAAATAACACATCTGTTCTGTGACCTAGCAATTCCACTCCTCGGTGCACACACGAGAGAAATGAGTGTATAAATCTACCACAAGACATACAAGATTATTTACAACAGCTTTATCCGCAGGAGCCCCAAACTGAAAAGAACCCAAACGCGCATAAACAAAAGACATAAACCAAGTGCACGTATCTATGTATCAGGAGATAGGAACACAGGAGCAACGAACTGGTCACACGCCACAGGTCAGCCTCACATACACTATGATGCACGAAAGAAGCCAGGCACAGAAAAGCAAAACTAGTACGTATCCCGTTTCTACGATTCTCCAGAACAGGCGAGACCCCCTAGGACGACAGAACCAAACAGCGTATCGCAGGAGGGCGGGGCCACGCAGACGGGCGGGCGGCGTCCTCTGGTGCCGGGGGCAGCATCCGCTCAGGGCGGTGGGGGCGCAAGTGCGTGTAAACATGAAAGTTCGCTGAGCTACACACTAAAGATTCGTGCACTGCTAGTACTAACATTATTGTAAACATTAATTTAAAAAGGGGGGAACCCCACAAAGAACATTTCAGGCTCAGATAGATTCATTATGAATTCTTCCAAAGACTTGAGGAAAAAAAGTAAAATCTTAGATAAATTTTTAAAAGAGTAGAAAATAGCAACTGAGAATATGGGAAAGTAGTCCAGACAGCTTATTGAATATGAAGCAACCAGTCAATGTTTCTCACACAGATGTTTCTATCTCTCTAGAGGCAATAAAAAAAGTCCTCAGGTGAGGATTAAAAAAAAAAGTATTTCTGGGTGAAATGATACGAGGTCGGGATTTAAAATACTCCAACTCCTCCCCCCAAATTGTGGGGGTGATAAGTAAAATATACTTGACAAGATAGTGATAACTGCTGAAGGTGAGTGAGTTTGTCCCACCATCCTATCTGGCATTTTTTCTAAAGTTTATGTCATTAAAATTGAAAAAAAGAGGAAAAGCACTGTAAAAACTCCACTAGTAAACACGTTTCTAAGATGTGTTTATTAGGTGAAGGACCTAGTAAACTAGACGTGTTTAAAGATGAAGGACCAAACTCAGAAAATAAACAAAAGCTGAGAAGTGAAAGACCAGTGATACCCCTTATATTGCAGAGGGTATGAAGGAATGACAAGAAAAATAACGTTGTCTTCAATTTTTTAAGTAAAAAACAAAAAGCGAACAAACAAACAAACAAAGTCCAGCAGACCGCTGAAGACCAGTGCCTGGCAGGCAGAACTGGAGGGGGAGCTAGGGAAGCAACACCTGCGCACGCTCAAGTGACCTCAGCAGAGTAACAGAGGGGCTGGTGTTAGGGGCAGGGGTTTAGAATAAGAACGCGGAGTGAGTGCTGGCTTCACTAATTACTAGCTGCATGATCATGTGCAAATGGCAATGTCACCAAAACAAAGGGTTCTATTTTCGGGAGGATCAAATAAAAAAACACGGTGGAAACAGGGAAGCCTTGTAATAGACCGGCTGTGTGGGGAGGTGAGTCCCCTCAGGGGCGCCCGCAGAGAAGCACAGAAGAGAAGGTTCAGGATGAGCCTTGTGATCTAACCAAGATTAATGGCCAGAGGAGAGAACGAATAGAGAACTGCAAACATTAAAGAGAGAAAAACGACCTAAGAAAGGTAACTTAGGAGGAAAAGTGTCAAAAAAGCCAAGATGGAAACAAACAGGGTGAACCCAAACAGGGTGCAGTGGTGGTGGGGGTGCAGATACAGCCAGAAATGAATTTAAAAGTCAAAAGGGGAAGCAATGTCACATACTCCTGTCAAGAAATACACGAAATCGCCATGCACGGTATTTCTCGGCATGTCAAACCCTATCGTCTTAGGACAGCCAGTTGGGAGCAGTGGCGGAGCACAGTGGCCAGCACCTCCCAGCGAAGGCAGAGGACACCACCGCGCCCACTCCCTTCGCTAGAGCACACGGCGGGGTGGGGCGTATTGTGAGAAGCTGAAGTGACTTAGATGAAAAGAGGTACGTGATCCTCAAGAGTCTCCAAATTAATGTGGTAGATCATTAGTATGCATTCTTTCTAAATGGCAAGTGCAAGAAAATTAACGTGAAACATTTCCCACTGTAAACTGCATAATTGTCATCAAAGCAGTATTTTAAAAAGGTGAGACTTTTCCAAGTTAGACAAGTACTTACCATTTCACCCCCTCCCAGAGCAGAGAGAGGTACAGAAATCAATACCACCCGACACGCACCTTCCCCTCCCCGAGGGTCTGGAAGGACCCCGCAGAGCAAAGGTGGTGGGGACCCTGGAGGAGACAGAATGGGGCTGCGGGGTCTGCAGCCTCTCACTTGTCACCCTCCTGCTGCGGGAGAGCGTGAAATGACGTCACTGCTGCGGGTGTGCCCCCTGCAGCAGGACATCCTCCCTGTTCACAGAGAACTCACTCATTCCGCATTTGTGTTTCCTTTAAAAACACAAAACAAAAACAAGTGGACAGAAGGAGGTTATCCAAAAAGGACTCAGGTAAGAAACTGTGAAGGTTCGCCCCTCGTGTTCAAGAAAGGGCCGTTTGCGTTTCCTGGCTTGTTTCACTCTCCCCCTCTGTCTGAGTTGGAAGTTACCTGGACAGCTCATTTGAACAGCGCACAAACAGTGTTGCAGAGGTAAATCGCAGCAGAAAACCCGTACCTACTCGCAACACTTGAGCACAGACTGCAAGATGCACTTAGGAGTCAAGGGTCACACCTAACGAATGGCAAACACTGTAAGGCCCAGTCCTTACGACACCATGCTCGCTCCTTTAGGTAAAAATCATGGCACCTGCCCTGAAACCAAAGAGTCAACTCAACTGAAGGCTAATGAAAGATTAACCGTCATTTTCTTGGGCACTGCCCTTTCCTTGTTTATGTGTACCCACAGTCTGTCTAAATGGAGCCCAGAATGTTGACTACGCTGACTTGTAAAGCGGTTAGCAGCACCTTCTGGCTCCTCCGGACCACTTAACCAACAATGTACGACGAGGTCTGTCCCGAGAAAGTCCAGCATCGTTAATGTAGGAGAATGGTTTGCACGACATCAATGTGACCTGGCAGCCAAGGAGAGAGGACTGGAATGTGCATGTGTGAGCAATGACGACATCAGTGGGGGTGGCAGACACTGGTGAGTGAGCACGTGTACTGTGTGGCTGTCTCGTTCAAAACGACTGAGTGAGCAGAGCAACGAATCTGCATCATATTTTGCACTAAGCTTGAACATTCCTCTACAGATGATTCAGAAGGCTGCAGCTATGGGCAACTGGTGATTGGCAGCTTCATCACAACAATGTGCCCACTCATGAAACACATCTCATGAAGAGACTTTTTTGTAAAACTTCAAGTCATCTAGGTGACTCAGCCTATCTACAGCTCAGAATTGGCGCCCTGAGACTTCTGGTTTTTCCTGAAACTAAAATCACCTCTGAAAGGGAAGAGATTTCAGACCATTGGTGATATTCAGAAAAATTCAACACGGCAGTTAGCTGATGGTGCTGGGAGAACTGTGTGAGGTCCCAAGGTTCCTACTCTGAAGGAGACTGAGGCGTCTTTGTCCTACATACAATGTGCCTTGTATTTTCTTCCATAAAAGCCTGTATTTTTCATATTATACAGCTGGATACCTTCTGGACAGACCTCGTATTACACAATGGTCTGAGACCCTCATTAACGGAAGTGCAACTGCTCTAAACGCTGGAACCAAACTGTACTTAGATTTCCGGTTTTTTGTGATTAATGAAGGAAGGAGACTCTAAAATAATTACAAGATACCCACTGTAAGAGCTTATTTGATTACTGTCCCTCCCAAATGAAAACTGCAACATAGCTAAAAAGCAAGTGTTCCATATCACCTGAGAGCACGTTCATGATAAAATTTCTTTCTGAGACAATTTAGTGCAATCATTTATTTAAAAAGCCCAGGTAACTGAAAAACTGTCTACATAGAATCTAGGCTGCTTTTATGCAACTATTGTTTCAGTAACAGCTTTACTGCATAAAAGAAGCTGTATCTGCCGCCACCACTGATAAGCTTAACTAAAGTAAGATAAATACAGGAAGGATAAAGACAGCTAAACTAAAGTAGGATAAAGACAGGAAGGATAAAGACAGCTAAACGTTCCTGTAAGGCTTTTTTCCAAGTTTCGGATTCTGGCAAGACTTCTAGTCCCATCTTATTGGAGACTTAAGCAACTTTCAAACCTCCGTGGTTTAGAAGATCCTCACCACATTTTCTAAACCATAATATTATCAACCCCCAGATGAGGCCACTCATTGTGGTCTTGTGTGGCCACTGGAGCTGGGATGGAGCCCCCTGAGCAGGGTGGCAGGTGTGCTACCCATTTTGCAAACCTGCTAGGAATGAAAGTGTGAGGAGGACCAACTCGAAGCCAAAAATCACTTCTCACTCAAACCGAGGTCAGCTGCTTACCTCCCGTGGTGTATTGGCAAGTGTTTGCGATGGATCCCGTGACTCCCTTCCACGAAGGCGTTGGGAGGCTTGTGGTACACAGAGGCCAGGGAGCCGATGTGGCAGATCAGCTCGTCCAGCAGCGTGGGCTCGATGAGGTCCGTCTCCTCCGAGATCAGGGGCTTCTCGGACAGGACCACTTCTTTGGCTGTGACAGGGTCCGTAGAGAGAAGCCGCCAATAAATATAGCCCCTGTCTCGAAGGTCAGGATTATCAGAATCCTAATGAAAAGACAAAAGCAGGAAGATGTAAACGAAACCTTTCTCAATACGGAAACCCGAACTGCTGGGTTTCTCATCGAGGCAACACTGTCGTGACTCAGGCACAGTTGGCTGTCAAGACTCAACTTAGACTCAGTCAGTATAGTTTCAACACAGTTGTAACTCCATAATCTCCATGACGAACAATTCAGACATAAATTATGCTGGGTTACAGTCTTAAAACTCAAATTCAAAGGGAAGTTGAGAAAAGGAAAATAAAGCTTGATCTAGTAAAAATTAACTGATGAGATCACTTTGGGACATAAAAATGTTTTTTCAACTACTATAAAATACTAACAGGATTATTCATGAAATACAACTTACATACGTATTTCACCCATGCCTTCTTTCTTCGCTCAAATATTTATTAGGCATCCCCTCGGGAACATGGGCTAGGCCCTGGACGTAAGCACCACCAACAGCGCCTGGCTTTAACGAGCTCACGGGGGTTAATGGTCACGACATAGTGTGAGATATCACCAGTATCTAAATAACCTGAAAACGGTTCGGGAGAGCACATAACTAAGACCTTTCAAAAGGGGCGACACTTGAACTTAGTGCTCTTATTTTCCTGTGGTGGTTTTAAAATAACTTTCACATGCTCATCATTAAAAATGTGGCATCAATGCCGCCCCACAATCTAGAAACCTACTGTGCGTCTCCCCCAACCACCCAGCCCTTCCCCCCAAAGGGCCCCGCCAAGAGCGCGTTATTCACCCTTCTACATGCTCCCACACACAACACACTTATTTTATGCAAAATCAGCTTCATGTCGCGCATGCTGTCCTGCAAGTCGCTTTCCTACTGGCACACGCAGCTGCCATCTCCACTGCCTATGTAGCAGCCACCACCACCTACTGGTGCCTGACTGATGGACATTCAGACGGTTGCCTCTTTGTCTGTCTGTCTGTCTATGTGTGACCAGCACAAAGTGTCAATAATTATCCTAGCACCTACCTCTCCGAGTGAGTCCACATGGTGGCATTTATTTCTGCATCAGCTGTTCCAGTGATGTTATTAAAAGCTACAATAAATCCCCGTTTCAGTTTCTGTACTGAAACACACGTACAAAATTATTTTCCTTAAACTGGGCTTCCACACGAGTTTGTGAGTAAAGAGACGAACTGGTTCCTGGTTCAGGCAATTAAGACACACATCACTCAGCTCAATGCCAGTGATGACCTGGTGGTTCTGACTGAGTGGTGTTTCTTAGTCATATTATTGTTTAATTTGCACTCATGAATGCATTTCTAGTTAAACAAACACAAACGGTATGTTGCAATACAGCAAGTTAATCAAGTACAAACAAACACATAGCTCGTGTTACTCTAACAGAAATGCATTTGTGTGTGTGTGCATTATATATCATATAGAAATGTTCATAGCACTTAAAAAGCCAGGGCTAAAAAAAGGAAAACAGTGATAACATCTAACTTAGACGGTTCTGTCTTATGGGGGGTGGGGTGGGGAACACTGACCCTGAGGAGGTGATTCTAAATGGCAGACTGAAACCTCCTCACTTAGGTTTTCATTTGGAAACAAAGTTCAAATGTTATAAAACATAAACAAGTTCGTATTTTGAAAAGAGCAGAATACAAACTCCTCAAAATATCAGGTCAGGAAAATCAATCCCCACTCCAGTTTTTGTTGATACTTAAGTTAAAAGTTCAATTTTAATCCATATGTGTCAGTACCCAAAGCAAGTCTTTTAAAATTTGTAGACTAGCTCTGTCTTCTATTACACAATTAAAATGAACACCGCACGCCACTTAGCTGGGAAAATCTGGTTTATCTTTACAGATTAGTAATAGTGTTAAAGGTATTAATACAAACTTTGTATTATGGTTTAATCGTACACTAATCAAAATAAAATTCTTTTTACTTCAAATTCTCTTACATATCATGCACCTATTTAACCAAATGTCCAAAAAACTTTGTGGGGATTATACACAACACAGAATTATATACATCTATGAAAAACTCTGCGTCCCCCACCAATTCCAAACACTGAAACAGGGCAAACTGCTGAAAACAGAACCACTGAGTCAAAGGGTATACTCAGTACAGATCTTAACAGACACTGGGTTCACCAAAACACGGTTCTGCAAAAAACTGGGTTCACCAAAACACGGTTCTGCAAAAAACTGTCAATTTTCCAAGATTGACAGACGAGATCAGGCAAAGATCCCCGCCGTCCCAACCCCGCTGCCCCAACCCTGCTGTCCCGAGGGCTGGCTCGGCAGGCCTCTTGTAAGGGGCCTTCAGTGCCTGACGGTCACACGGTCAAGACTTGCGACAAGAAAATAGAGCCCTTTAAGGATTTTAACGTCCCACTGTATGTCTGACGACTCAGAAAATCTGATTTTGCATCTGCTGCACTGCCAGCCCCACAGGCCCGCCTTGAGACCTCAAGAAACTGTGTTTCTAAAAATCTGAGAGCTTCCAAAAATAATTCTTACCAGGCAAGCTCTAAATGAGTAATTCTTAATTCATAATGTGCATTAATTAGCCTTTTAACACACCAGAAAAGCCACTGAAAATGTGGATTCGAGCGCCAAATCCCAGAGAGTCTGATTCAGTGTCAGAGGTGCAGCCCAGGGATCGGTACTTCTAACAGGCAACAAGGGGGGACTTTTGATGACGGCGTCTCCAGTTCACAGAGAGAAAAAACCAAGGTAAAGACTTCCCTTCTGGGTGCTACACAAAAGGTAGTTATGAAAGGCTGGATATTTCTGTGTGTATTTTTTGCTAATTCCTTCAAAGGCATCAAAGCAAAAAAGACAAATCTTTGAAATGAAGCCACAATGCAAGGGATGGTTTTTTCTCCTAACTAATAAAATTTCTAACTATGCCACCATTTTATCTAAAATTAGAAGCACAAAGATTTCACACAGACGCCACTGGATTCTCAGCACAGGTGAAGAACAGGGTTGATAACCCTACTGTGAAGATGGGAGAACAGCTGCATGAAAAAGAATGTGTCCAGCTGAGCCCTGAACCAGCGGACGTGGCAGGAGGAGAACCCACCACTCAGTTCAAATCAGTCCAGCAGCTCGCACCGCCCTCAACTTAAACTGGTACGTTCCAGTCAAAAATATTAGGTTCTTATTTCACAAACTTGAGAGAAAGAATTCCAACTTCCAATGGAGAAGATGTACATAAACGTGCTACTCCTGTTACGCTAACTACTCGGATCCCATTGACTGGACAGAAAAGGCAAGCTCAGAGAAACTGCCTAATAATTATGTATAGCCCAATATGAAATAATTGTCCACAGTGACCTCAAATCGACTACGTCCACTCACACACGACGGACCTTCAGGCTGGGCAGGCTGGCTCGGCTCGGGCACTTGCAGTCACTCTTAACCTTCGGCCTAGAGAAGCAGCCCAGCCCCATGGGGCGGGGCCTCTGGAACCACACCATCTGGACTCGAGTGCCAGCCCGCCCGTTCTAACTGGGCCAGTCTCTGCTTCCTCGTTTATTGTATAAAATAGAACAGTAGCAACACTGAGACTGAGTGAACATCAGGTTAACATCTAGGTAAAGTGCTACCCAGAAAACCCTATACACAGCGATCACTATTCAAATTAATTCTTAGGGTTCACAGCTGTGAGTATGCAAACCAGAGTTTATTCCTGTATTATTTATTAATTATTGTGTCATTTACTTGTGTTACTTATAAACCTACTTTCGCCCACCTCTGTAGTATGTCCTTTACTAACACTGAAGAGTCTAAGTTCAGTTTTCATGGATTATAACAACTGGAATCAGTCAATTCATTTAAAAGCCATTCAACCAGCTAATTTAGTGGAATATATACAAAAAGACCTGTGTTTTAAATATTTTCACAGGATCTAAAGACTGGTGAACCCTTCCAATTGAAACCCCCCAAATGAACCTTCTTCAGAGTCTCCTTAACTTCCTACAATTTAAAACCAACCCCATGCAGGTTTCTTACCTGTGTTGCCAAACTCAACACCTGCTGCACCAGCTCCTGTGTTTCTGACGGCTTCTTCAGGAAAAGCTTCACTATGGCAGTAAGCAGAGTAAGCTGCACCTAAGCAGATGTGATTTAATAAAGTGAAAGGCAGCCCTGGCTGGGGTGGCTTGGTGGATTGAGCCCCGGACTATGAACCAAAGGGTCACTGGTTCGATTCCCAGTCAGGGCACATGCCTGGGTTGCGGGCCAGGTATCTGGTGGGGAGTGCTCAAGAGGCAACCATACACTGATGCTTCCCTCCCTCTTTTTCTCCCTCCCTTCACCTCTCTAAAAAGAAATAAAATTGAAAAAAAAGAATAAAGTGAAAGGCATTTCATTAGTCATACCACCATTTCCAAAACAGCATTTCCCTACCTACCAATCACTATGGGTCCTTTCTGATTGTGATGACGAGACCAAGACGAACACCGAGCCAACACCAACAACAGCAGTCAAAAGTACCCATCAACTGAAAACTCACTAGCCTCCCATTCTCAAACTGCATTTTTGGCATCAAAAATTGCTCCTCTGTTTCTGGCCCAGATAATCACCTGTAACCCTCCAAGTACATGCTAGTGATGTGCTGGCAATGACACTGGCTCCTGACCAAGCCCATGACTGCTCCCTCCCACCCAAGGTGCAACTTCAGGGGAACGGGGGCATCCGTGGTCACACTGGGCAGAAGTGAGACAGAAGAGTCAATGCCACTTCGTAGCTACCTCGGGGTGGGCTGACAAGCCACAAAACTACTGGCTTATGTGTGTCCCTTGTAAAAACCTATTAAACATACTGTGGCGGACTACACACATGAACTTCAGTTTGCAGTGAGTACAAATGGTAGGGAAAGAGTTTAATGCATCTGCTCCTCTAGGCCTGCAGCACTAAGGCAGGGCCTCTCAGTTTTGGTGGCGGAGAGATGAAGACGAGAACGAATCTATCATCCAGAGAATCTTTCCAAACTGCACACGCCAGCCCTCAGCCCATCCCCGGGCGAAACCACTTCATATAATAAGCCATTAACTATTACTAACAGGCATGGCTAATTATCCTGGGATGACAGAAAATGAAAAGGTGGTAGCCGCTGCTCTAAGCCGGGAGCTGTCAGGGTGTGGTTCTGGAGGAGCAGCGGAGCAGCATCACCCTGAACCTCGGAAGGAATCAGAATGCCCGGCCCATCTCAGAGCCACTGAGCCAGACACCGAGGGGTGAGGCCCATCAACCTGCGCTTTAACGAGCTCCCCAAGAGCACGTTGTATCTGACGCTTATTGAAATTTGAGAACCACTGGTAGGTTTACTCCATCAGAAATCAGCACAACTGAAAAAGCTTGTCCCTTTTGGGAGAAAAATGAAATATGTGGGGTCTGTCCAGAAACAGTCCAGCCACTGTTAATATAATGAGAACGGTTTGCGCAACATCGATGTAACCTGGCAGCCAAGGAGAGTGGACAGAAGTGCACGTGTGTGAACGATGACAACTTCCCTACACTAGTCAGTGGGGGCGGGAGATGCTGTTGAGTGAGCACGGGTACTGTGCGGCCATCGCATTCAAAATGACTGAGCGAGTAGAGCAACAGATCTGCATCATATTTTGCGTTAAGCTTGAACATTCCTCCATGGAAACTATTTGGATGGTTCAGAAGGCCGCAGCTATGGGCAGCTGGTGACTGGAAACTTCATCACAACTCGCCTTGTGCATCATGTCTCCTGCAGTTTTTTGGTGAAACATCAAATCACCCGGGTGACTCAGCCCCCTACTGCCTAGATTTGACCTCTGGCTTTTCCCAAAACTAAACTCACTCTTGAAAGGGAAGAGATTTCAGATCGTTCACGAAATTCAAAAAACATGATGGGGCAGCTGGAATCAACTGGGAGAACTATGTGAGGTCCCAAGGTGCCTACTTTGAAGGGGACTGAAGCGTCATTGTCCCACGTACAATGTTTCTTGTATCTTCTTCAATAAATGTCTCTATTTTTCTGATCACATGGCTGGATACTTTCTGGACAGACCCCATACATATCAATCACATGAAAATGGCCGATCCTTTACTTTCCCTAACATCTTCCCCAAAACCTCTATGACACAGGATATAGTTGAAAACTTACCTGGGTGCTTTCGTCATGAAAACCCTCCAGGAAGCTCTCCAACAACTCGTCCGCGTTGTCGATCCGTTCGGCGTATTCCCCCACGATCCAGATCATAGCTGCTCGAGCATCAGGCTCATCCAGCGAGTCCAAGTTCTCGCACAGAGTAGCAATGATACTTTCATACCTGACGTAGCAGAATGGACCCCCGTTAGTGAGGGCCGCACTGAGAACTGTACTTAATCACACGAGTTAAAGGTAAAATCAGAGACAAGGGACCCTAAACCTAAGCACCAAAATACAGAGGCTTTTTAGTCCAGGGAACGTAAACACTTTAAGCCAGAAGATTGTCTTAAATTTCCCTTCAATTATGTTTACTAGCTTAAACATTTATACAAGCTCATCAAATATTCTATTCACAAGGAAAAGCTAACCCGTGGTATGAGACAATACTACCTGATGTTTCTAACAACCTTCCTGACACACGGTCAGAGAGTGTCCCATCTAGGATTCTCTTTTGCCTTCACACTGGAGAACAAATCCCACTTCACTTTTAGGAAAATGGAGTCAGACAACAACAGCATCCAGACTAGAAACAGTAATTCTGTCCCTTAATCCAAATCTCTGCTTTTCATAGGGATCTTGTTTTTTAAATTTATTTTAGAGAGGGGAGAAGGAAGAGAGAAAGAGGAGAGAAACATCAACCTGTGGTTGCCTCTCGCACACCCATCCCCCACTGGGGACCTAGCCCACAACCCAGGCATGTGCCCTGACAGGGAATCGAACCAGTGACCCTTTGGTTCACAAGACCGCACTCAATCCACCAAGCCACACCAGCCGGGGCTGCTTTTTATAGAGATCTTTATGTTTTTGCCTCTCAAGGCATTGCCTGTACTAAAGATTTGTTTCTCTAAGGAAACAAGAAAATCAAATACTTATTTTTAATTTGACAGGTCTACAGCTCTCTCACTTTACCCTGTTGAACCCATCTCCTTGGGTAATGTAGTTATAAACATCAAAATAACATTAGAGGAAGAAAAAGAAATAATACACTTAACTGTGCCCTACTTCCACAGATTAAACTGGGTTTTCGATAGTTCTTTCTTACAATTAAGCGTTTATAACCCCTTATGAGAACCAGAAAGGGACACATTTCTCAGCCAATCACATTGTGACACACATCCCCACCCTTATCCCAGACGTTCAGAAACCCAACACTCCCCTCTTCTGCTGGGGGCGGGGGTACTGTATTTTGCCATGTATATGGCGCTCCTCAGTATAATGTGCACCCATGTTTTTGGCCCAAACTTTTAGGAGAAAAAGATCTTTTGTTTTAATTTTTTAGTTTATGTATGTATGTATGTATTTATGTATTTATTTATTTATATCTAGAAACAAAAGTGATTATCATATTCCAGGGTACTGCTTTGCATATGGACATCATTATTGCTTTCTACAGTTAAACTTTTAACACCTAAGTGTAAATAAAGGAATTAAAAACATTTACATAGGCCCTGACCAGTGTGACTCATTGAATTGAGCACCGGCCTGTGAACCAAAAGGTCACCAGTGTGACCGCCAGTCAGGGCGCATGTCCGTGTTGCAGGCCAGGTTGGGGCATGTCACAGACAACTGATGACTCTCTCACACACTGAGGTTTTTAACCGCTTTTCTCCCTCCCCCCTCTAAAAGTAAATAAATACAATCTTTAAAAGTTTATATAGATACAGAATTAGTGCTACCTGTGTATAATGTGCATCCTTATTTTTCCCTCAAAAATCTGGGCAAAAATGTGCATATTATATACAGTGAAATACAGCTAATCATTCTTTTTCTAAAATACTGTTTCTAAAACTTATAATGTGTGTATGTGTATAATGCTTAATAAACCAGTGCTTTGCTAAAATACTTCTTCTAATTTTGAGTCCACCACTAAGCTAACTTACTGTAAGTCACTTCACTTAACAGTCATTAATAACCGACCAGGAGTTTCAGTACAAAATATGTCTGCCCCTTTAAGACAAAATGAGATTCAGGATGCTTACAAACCTACTCTTCTGTGGCTACTTCAGATCCCTCAACTGCTTGCTTTGAAAATCAAATACACACACAGGAGCAGCTACGACACACCAGAAACGACCCGTGAGCCGCACTGACGATTCACTGTTACCTGTTCTGTCGTTTTCTACAAAGCACCAGGTAACGAGCAAAGTGAACCGTGCAGTTACCACCTTCCCAGTTTTTACCCCAGGGAGGTCAGAAGACTTATCATCCAAATAGGAGTTTCTGAGAGTAAAAAGGGGCACGGTCATTGACTACGCCTGGTAACAGGCGTAAACTGGGATTATAGCCGGACAATCTGGAATAGATGGGTCTTTTACTAGTAACTTCGCTAGCAAAGACTGTGGTTAACTTCAATATACACTAGTCAACAGTGCACACTCAGACAGAGCTTCACCTCTCCTGAAAGTACTAAAGCAGCCCTGGCTCCGCAGGGCCTGGCAGGCTGGCGCACCGCCCCACACAGCAGAAGGCTGTGGGTCTGATCCCCAGTTGGGGTGTGCACGGGAGGCAACTGATGGATGTTTTTCTCTCTCCCCGCCTTGTCTTTCTCTAAAATCAACAAACACATCCTCAGATGAGAGTGGATAGATAGGTAATAAATAAATAAATAAAGCGGGTGAGAAATCAGGTTTTGATCCCTGTGCTAACAACCTTATACGGTTCTGATTTTTAATGAAGTTTCCCATCATGACTAGCTACATTACCAAGCCAATGTCAAAGTGCCCACTCAGACATCCCCTAAGTGATCCGAGGAAGGGGGCGGAAGCACACGCACGTACTTGTTGGGGTACTTGCGGAAGATGTCCCTGATGACCACGATCGCCTCTTGGACCACATAGTTTACTTTGGTCTGGATGAGATCAAGCAACGTGCTCACACAACGTTCTGCGGATTGCTGCAAAGAGGAACATAATAAATGGGAAGTCAGACGACCTGTCCAGTAATACAAACCTCAGTATAAAAAGATCTGAAACACACAGGCGCATCGACTACACTAGACTAAAAGACTACACAGGCACCTAATTTAACCAGGTTACCCCAGAGGCTGGGCTACCTGCCGAAGACGGACGAAGTTCTGGATGTGCCCCAACTGTACTCACTACAAACATACTGACAGATGGGCGTCCATTCATGTGGAAAGAATCATCTGGTAGAGCAGGAGAAGAAAAATGGGAGAATAAGGCGAGACAGGACGTCTTCTCCTGCAGTTCATGGATGAGTGGAGACCAGGAGGCAACTTTAAACTCTTGAAATGAAACTGCCAAATTTCATACGTGCATACAAGCACATTTTCCAGGGAGAGTCCACAGCTCATTGCAGTAGCAAAGTTACCGCTGACTCAAAAACTCCTAAAAACTGCTCTCTTTTGATATGACGAAGTCTATAACCTTAGATAAATTGCAATTTTCCACAGTCTATAGTTCATCTATAGAACAGAATTTAATCTAAGAATCTTTCCCTGTTGAAGAGAATATGAAAGAATGTAAGTGACAAAACTAATGTACGGAAATTATAACTCGTAGCTTTTACAAGGAGAAGCGCTCTAGAAGAGAGATTTTCGAAATCGAGGACTGACCAGGCCAAAGGGACTGGTTGGTTGAAGCATCATCCCATACACCAAAATGGATGAGGGTTCAATCCCCGGTGAGGGCACATACAGGAGACAACCGATCGAAGTTTCTATTTCACACTGATGTTTCTCTCACTCTTTCTCCCTTTCTATCTCTCCAAAATCAATAAATAGATCCTCGACTGAGGATTAAGAAATAATAAAATAATGTACAAATCAAGGACTGGTCTGTCACACACTGTGATGCACTATGACAGGCCCATCACTCTGGTACTGTGTCCACTGATCAGACGCAGGAGAAAGTGCACAGCAACCCCTGGGAGGCCGTCTTGCTGAGACACTGACCATGACTCTTACCAAGCCTCTGGATTTAATGACGTGAAGAGGATGGGGGACTGAGATAAAGAACACTAAAACACAACCCGCCCAGTCCAGACGCTGACCCGGTCCCTTCAAAAAGTGGCACCAAATTAACTAAGAAAAGACTTAAGATCATTAACCAAAAGCAACGTGTGGACCTTGTTCAGATTTTGAACTGAACGAGCCAACTACAAAGAGATTTAGACAATTAGGGAAAACTGGGCAAAAAAAAGGTGTATGAGACTAAGAATTACTGTTTGTGGGGGTGTGGTAATGGTACTGTGCCAGTATTTTTTGGTAAAGGACCTTATCTATTAGATACGCTCACTGGACTACTCCAGTAAGATTCTATCTGGGATTTCCATTAACATACAATCGTACTCCATTCCCTTAAAATTTTTTTAATCCTTACTTGGTAATATATTTATTGATTTTTTTTTTTAAAGAGAGAGAGGAAAGGACGAGGGGAGGAGGGAGGAAGGCAGGGAGAAAGAAACATCAGTTGCCTCCCGAAAGTGCCTCGAATGGGCATCAAGCCACAAGCTCCTGGTGCACGGGATGACTGCCGCTCCAGCCAACGAACCACCCGGCCGGGGCCCAGACGGGGAGGGAGGAGAAAAAGATAAAACTGCGACAACTTGTTGATATTTGTTCGAGACAGATAATACGTTCAGGAGAGTTTGTCAGTCAATTTTACTTTAGTGTATGCCTCAAATTTTCTCCAATACAATCTTTTAAATGTATTATAATATTTTAAACCATTCCAACCAATTTAATGAATACAAAATTCCACCTTGAGGATACTTATATGATGTCATATATGATCCTTTTGCACCATAAATAAAATCCTGCCATCTTTTATGTATTTGTGTTTCTCATTTTCAGCTAGTAATTCCTGTACTGCTATTGCAACACCAAAACAGGTAAAAATAATTAAATATGTAAGTTGTGATACATTATGAAGTGTGTAGGTGTAGGCTGCCCTAAGATTAAAGTGCAATCACAACCATCACGTTAGATTTAAAAAGGGTACCAATCAGGTAGTACAGCAGAGGGGCAAGAGCAAACCTCAGTCACCGCACACGCAAAACGTCCAGGAACAGAGAAACACGCACGAATCGAAGCTGAGTGTATGATAAAGACAATGTTTTCTATGAGTAAAGACAAAATGGTTTTTCTGGGGTTTGATTTCCACACTCATATTTCACAAAAATTATTTCCAATTATTTTAATTATTGATTAAAATCACATTTCAAAGTAAAAACAAAATCATTGCCCTATAAGTAGAAAATCAAGGTACATTTTATGTGACTTTGAGGTAGTGCACAACTCTGTAGGCGCGCTACCAGAGTGACCACTGAGAGAAAGACTGAGGGGACCCTGGAAAATGTGAGCTACCGCAGCGTGCTAACAAGTACAACGAAATCGAAGGGAAAACATACTGGGAAAACAACTGCTAATGAAATGAAGGGTTAATATCTTTAATTATAAAGAACTTTACATTATTTGGAAAAACAGCAAAAGCAACTTTAAGGTCCCATAATGAGGAAAAGAGGCTAAATAAATTATGAGACACTGAAACATCATGTCTATAAACCACTAAAAATGATGAAAAGCATTATCAGTAACATGGGAAAATATCTGTGCATGGTTAAGTGAAAAAAGCAGATTACCAAAGTAAAGAGCACTCACACAATGATCCCACTGTTATAAAAAAATACCCCTGTGTACAGAGGACTGATAAAGATTTAGAGTCGTGTTCACATCATCTCAGGGCGGGCGGAGTGGGCGCAGGAGAAAGCAGGGTGTTCTGTTTTCAATGAATGTGTCATATTTTATGAGTTTACATAGTAAACACATACAGCTTTAGGAAGAGGAAAAATACACCTTTGTTTTTAAATTAAGGAATGAGACACTAATCTGTATCTTATTTTTAAAAAAAATTTATTTATTTTTGGAGAGAGGGAAAGGGTGGGAGAAAACAGAGGGACAGAAACATCGAAGTGAGACAGAAACATCAACTGGTCGCCGAGAAAGAACCCAAGCGCGGGCCCCGAGCGGGACTGGAACCGGCAACCGTTCACTTTGCAGGGCGAGGTCCTACCCACGGAGCCACACTGGTCAGGAATGTATCTTATCTTGATCCATAAAAATTTGAAATACTAAACATCATAGAACAGAAAACTAGGAAGTGAAGAATTCCTGGCACTAACTTATTGCCTTAATCTCTCTCAAACAAATCACACCACTTGATTTAGAAAACTGAAAAAGGCCACGGCTTGTTTATCTCCTCCTACACTTGATCTCAGCTAAAAGGCCGAGAACCGATTGTTTATCTCCTCCTCAAAGAAGTATATACTATAAATGTATACAGTTTTATTTATTAATTTTTCAAAAAGATTTTGATTATTTTTTACAGAGAGGGGAAGGAGAGAGGGAGAGAAGTATCCATGTGTGGTTGCCTCTCACTCGCCCCCGACTGGGGACCTGGCCCATGACCCAGGCATGTGCCCTGACTGGGAATTGAACCGGCAACCCCGTGGTTTGCAGACCCGAGCCACACCAGCCAGGGCTAAGTGTATACAATTTTAATTTGTCGATCACCTCAATAAAGGAAGTGGAAAAAGTAAAATGTATTAAAAAAAAAATAGAAATAGGCAAAAGTTACTAAAATGTACAATGGGATTGCTTTTTCAGTGCTATTTATCGACACTACAGCCTATTGCTTAATCTTTAACCTAACCAACTTAATACAACAAAATTATACGTTCTTTTCACCTAAGGATTCTTAGAGCAACATAGAAACATCTACACAGAAAGTCTCTATAATGCCCTCGCTAGTTCTGCCCCATCCCACAGACGGGGGTTCAAACAGGCAACCGTTGCCTCTCCTACCTCGTAACTGTTTGGTCTAAGCAACTCTGTCCAACTGAGAACTTTCGTGATTGAAAAGTTCTAGGAAAAGTTCTAAGGCAAATCCAAAGCAACCTGAGATAAGGAAGCACCAGACGAAAGGCGGGATCCCTGAAGGCTGACCCTAAGTCTCCCATTCCTCACTCACTCCCACGGGGGCTCCCTGTGAGTCAGAGGAAGACGCGAAAGCTGTCGGAAGCTCATCTTTTCCAGACTATGGACGAGTCTCCAATCAGCCCCAACAGACGGCACTAAGTCTCTGGAACGTAGGGGCTTTGAGAACCCTTTCCAGCTTCAGAATGGGACACAATTTTATGTGGCTCTGCAGAGCTCTGTCAGAGAGGTCAGCATGGCAGTGACAAGCTCAACGTGACTCTCATGCTACCAAAACCTCTCTGAAAGCTGTGTGCCTTAACAAGAAGTAGTTGGCTATACCTCAGTAACAAAAAGAAAAAAGAAAAGGCAGGCAGATGAAGCGCGGTGATTGAAACAGATGTACTGTACCAAGACCCAGTAAACAGACTTCCCCGTTTCTCAAATGGAGCGACGGAAGAGTGCCACACACCTGAAGCAACCGAGCCAGCACAGCCCAGATTAGAAACCGGGATTCACTTCCTTCTGACTGCGGCCACTAGTCTACTAACCATGTATCAGGGCTACCCTCACGGAGCAGCACTGACCTGAATGAAAACCAGGACGGCCAGGTCGGAGCCTGGCTTCCACAGGTGCTTCTCCGACAGCGCCGGTCTCTTTCTGCCCCCGGGAAGTGCTAAGTACTGGTCGCACTGTACGCATTAGTTTAGTACCCTTGAGAAGCCATAGGGCCCATCCCTCTGCCACTATGTGGAACTACGTATAGTCAAGTAGCAGGAACGAAGATGGAGCTCTGAATCCAAAACAAAGAGAACGAAGGCCACCATTAACTTCAACAAGTTCCTGAAGGAGGAGAAGCAAGTGGAGGACTGGTGACTGATGAGCAGGGCCATGTCAATCATGGCCCATAATCCCTATTAGAAAGCGACAACCAAGCTAGAAACAGATCTGCCCTCTAAAACCAGAGAGCACAGCAAGACCTTCAAGTAAAGGCCAACTCACTGTCCTAAGGCAGAAACCTGCTGGCTGACAGCCCCGCCCGTGTGCAGAGAAGCCCTGAGAACTTATCTCTGCTAAACATAAACAGACTGCACTTAACTATATGCATGTCACATGCCTTAATTACAAACTGTGTACAGAGCCCTGACCATTGTGGATCTTGGTTGAGCGTCATCCTGCAAAGCGAAAGGTCACCAGTTGGATTCCTGGTCAGGGCACACGCCTGGATGGTGGGTTTGGTCCCAGGCTGGCACGCATCCAAGCAGCAACCGATCATTGTTGCTCTCACACACTGATGCTTCTCTCCCTCTCTTCCCCCCTTCATTAAAAATAAATAGAATCTTAAAAAACAACACAAAACTGTGTATAACAAACATGTAACTATCACTACAACTCTCCTGATAAATTCAAACTGCAGAAACTACATAAAAAAAAACCCCTGTAATTCATATCCTCAGAGATTTAAGAAGCTACTAGAACCACAAAGAAAGGAACGCTATGAAAAAGTAGTAATAACAAGAAAGAACAATGAAGAAAGGCTGGATGAAATGACGGCTGTGCAGAGGCCAAGAAAGAATCAGTCAGACAGGAGCGAGCCAGAGGACAGAGGACCGGAAGAGAGAGGGTCCAGGACAACGAGAGGCTCACACAGTCGATATTCCGCTCAAAAAGATGGAAGGAGATAGGGGTGCAATGAAGACATGCAATGCAAGAATAAAAGAAAGGCCATTACAGAAATTCCAGGAAAAACGGGTCTCAATAAGAAAATATATAATCATTTGCTTTGAATGGGCCCTACATATTTAGTCATAAATGCATAGTAAGTTCTGTAAGCCTGCAGTTGGCAGAACAAGAAATACATGTACACTATCTCAATTTACAGAGAATCAAAAGGGTCAAAAAGACTCCTGATGTAACTACACCAGAAAACAGGAAGGGAACTCAGCGGGAAAGGTGGGGCATATAAACTGAGCCGCTCACCTCACAGCAGAGAGTCAGCATATTTACAATCCATAAATCAATGAATAATAGCAGCCCTGGCTGGTGTAGCTCAGTGGATTGAGCGTGGGCCTGTGAAGCAAAGGGTCGCCAGTTCGATCCCCAGTCAGGGCACATGCCTGGATTGCAGGCCAGTTCCCAGTAGGAAACACACGAGAGGCAACCACACAATGATGTTTCTCTCCCACTCTTTCTCCTTCCCTTCCCCTCTCTCTAGAAATAAATATTTAAAAAAATGAATAATAGCATAAGCATATCTTTTAGATATGGAAAAATCTAAAAAGTACAAAAACCAGAAACATGACTTAAATGATTCCCTCAGAGAAGAGAAGAACCAGGGATAGCTGCCTTTCATTAAAAATTCTTGAATATTTTAACTATGAGCTTTATTACTGTCATAAACTTTTAAAATTATTTTATTTTATTTAAGGATTTTTTATTTATTTATCTTTAGAGGGGAAGGGAAGAAGAGAGGGAGAGAAATATCAATGTATGGTTGCCTCTCATGTGTCCCTCGCTGGGAACTGGCCTGCAACCCAGGCATGTGCCCTGACTGGGAATCGAACCGCGATCCTCTGGTTTGCAGGCCCACACTCAATCCACTGAACTACACCACCCAGGCCTGAAAATTATTTTAAAGAAAGGAGTGAAGAGAGCACCCCGACCCCTGTACCATGACCCCGGCCGCCGCCGGACACTTGCCTCCACCTTGATGGCGCACCGCCCAATGGCCCTCACTGCTTTGCGGACGAAGTCGACGTCCACTTCTGTGGCATATTCCTTCAGTTCGGCCAGAACCTGTGAAAAACGCAGGGCGTGAACAAGCATTACGGATCTCAAATAGCAGTTTAATGGCCAGGCTTTTTCTGAATGCCAGACCTTAAGATCTACAACATTATAATCTGGAGTTCACATAGAGTCTGACCTGAGCAATGTTGGCCTGGGATGCCAAGCGAATCATGATGTCCAACTTCTCCAGTTTCACATAGATGGGATCGTTATACTTCACAAAGAAGACTTTGATTTCCTGCTTTAAGATTTCAGGCCTGCGATACACACAGAAACACAAGGTAGGAAGGTGAGGCACTGACTGGTACCTCCTTCTGAGCCTCTATTAATATCCAATCTATGCCGCTTTGCTCTCCCCCCACGCCAGCCTGCACAGGAAACACACATACCAACTCCCCCGAAACCCCTCTACTCAAATCGGTCCCACGTGGCAGACCGGCTTGGTCCTTGAACGTGGTGGGGCATGCACAGTCAAGAACTGCTGCGAGAGCCGCAGCCTGGCCCCACGCAGAAGCCTGGACCAGGCTGAACAGGACCCGCTAGCCTGCCACTAGGAGACGCTCAGAGAACAGACTGCATGGCAGAGGGGTGGCCGGCAGCCGGTGCAGACTGCTCCCAAATCAACCGCAGGCCTCCTGACACAGGGCAAGGGGTCTGGCCACAGGACAGTCTCCTTTTTGTGCATTAAAGAGTTTAACGGTGGCCCCTTTAATATTGGTGTTATCAAGCGTAAATGTACAAACACCTTATTCGGCAATCCGTTTCCCCCACCTTTTCTGAACGATGAGGTTGATGTTCCTCAGGGCGACGTACTGCACCTCCGGCTCCCCGGACAGCAGGGTGACGAGCGGAGGCGCCAGCTTCTTCAGCAGCATGCTGTAGTAGTCGGAGTCCTTGGGCAGCAGCTCCAGGAACTTCATCAGGACTTTCACCGCCGAGAGCACCACCGCTGAGTTGGCGTGCGACAGCCGGGGCGTCACCCGCTCGCAGATGCTGCGGGGCAGGGCAGGGAAGGAAAGCCGAGCCCTGGAGAGGGGAGCTCTGACGCTCCTGCGGAAGCGCTGGGCCCAGCACAGCAGCTATACACACAAACCTCTCCATAAAACTGGCGGCGACTTCAACTCTATAAACTAAAATGCATGTACATGTACACGGAATTTAGTAGCCAATTTCTGATAGTCCAAGAAAACCTGTAACACGGCAATGATAAAGGGCTGAGAACTGTCCGGGTGTGCTTTCCAAAACCTCCAAACTCAGACCGACATCACCGCTATCGCTAATGGAAGACATCGTATATTTTGCTGGCTCCAGCACCTCCTGTGGTGCTGAATTATGGGTATAGCTCAAGTCATAATTAGTATGAAGCCAATTACTGTGTATCTAATAGAATGAAAAGTGTTACTAGAGTGAGAGACACTCACAAACCTCTTTGTCACAAGGCCAAGAACTGCTAGATGGGAGATGAGACTGTGATGAGGAAGATTTCAGCACAGCACAACTATGCTGTTCAAACAAGAAAGGAAAGAAAATACGTCTCTTAGGAAAGAGCTGTTTTTGCACGGTTACTCCACTACCTGAAATGTTTCTAAATCCAGTAAGCAAATACCATGGGGACAGAAACATCTGTCCCACAAAGCACCGATCTTCCTCAGCAGGACAGACTTTTATTCTAATACAGAAGACACCAGAACTTGCTAAACCACCAAGACCCCCAGAGACCATCCAGGAGAGCGCACTCACCTCTGAGCCTCTCGGTCATCTTTTGGGTTGTAATTGGACAGGCAGTCCAGGATGAAAATCTGGCCCCATTCCGTGCACTCGTTCAGGGCTGTCAGCAGCTTATTGATGTTCTGTGGGTTCAGATCGAGTAAGTTGCTATTCGGGTGAGATTCGCTGATTTCAGATAAGGCTGCTACAGCATTGGCCACCACCTGGGAAAGAAGCAGACGTGAGGTCACTTACCAAGGACAGCACAAGTGCAGACAGACACTCTTCTCTGGGCCACAGACCTCAACTCCTGATTCCTGCGAATCTCACCCAGTCAACTGGAAACGCACAAACTGCTTTCAGAACACACTTGTGTATCAAACCACCAGTGATGGCACACACTGTCCTGTGGTCAGACAACCCAGCATTAAAGCAATTCATATGGGGCAGAAAGTCCCATATAACTTACTATTAAAACATTCGCAATTTTAATAGTGTTCAAAACTATCAGTAGAATCAAGACATATAAACAGCAACAAAAAAAAAGGCAGTAAGTTTCAATATGAAATACACACACTTGGCAATGAAGAGAAAAATCCAAGCCGAATGGGTAACTGGGTATGGGTATATAGGGAGTGGGGGGAGTGGTGGAGAGATGATACCGCCGGTCACATCACAGGTCTTGATGTGATTTTCTTGAGTAAGAAAATTTGAGTTTGAGTCCTGGCTGGTGTAGCTCAGTGGATTGAGCGCAGGCCTGTGAACCAAAAGATCGTGGTTCAATTCCCCATCAGGGCACATGCCTGGGTTACAGGCCAGTTCCCAGCAGGGGATGCACCAGAAGCAACCATACATTGATATTTCTCTCCTTCCCTTCCCTTCTAAAAATAAATAAATAAAAATTAAAAAAAAATTTAGCTTGAGACACTGATATGATGTTGGGAGAACTCATAATCTGTGGGATTTAGTTCCTCATCTAAAAACCAGGGATAATTTAATCTACCTCACAGATTAGCTCTAGTTTAAGGATAAAATCAGATGACATATGTACAAATTCTTTCTATAAAACCTTATGCAAAACAGCCCTGGCAGGTGTGGCTCAGTTAGCTGGAGCATCATCCCCATAACTGAAGGGTTGCGGGTTCAATCCCCAGTCCAGGCGAGTATGATTCCTGGTCTGGAAGCCTATGGGAGGAGGCCGATGTTTCTCTCTCCCCCTTCTCTCTCTAAAAGCATCGGAAACATGTCCTGGGGGGGGGACTTACACAAAATAAAGATGGTCAAATTACGTAATTCATCAGCTGCAGTTTTTCACATTAACAGCTCCGACACTGGGATGCGTTTTATAATCCATGGCGCACTGTTTTAATGTAAAATGTTTTTCCTTCCAGGTAATACACAAAGTAATAAAGCATATTAACCCTAGCCCAGTAGCTCAGCTGGTTGAAGCTTCATCCTGATACCACACCAAGGTCACAAGACTGACCCCCAGTCAGGGCACATGCATGAAGCCACGCACTGACTGCATGAATAGGTGGAGCAATAAGGAGATGTGCGTGCGCCTCTCTCCCTCCCTCCCTCTCTCTCTAAAGTCAATAAAATCTCTTTAAATCTTAAAAAAGTTTAAAAATAAAGCATCTTAGAATCAAAGGCATTTTATTATCAATGAAATATGGTATCTCAAACGTGTACCCTCTCAGGCAATATGATAAATAAAAAATTGCTACCAAATAAAGCATCCTGACTTATAGATCTGGGAATTCATAATTAGCTGCAAGAAAAAAGGTGAACACTCTACCAAAATTACACATTATTTCTAACATAACAAATCCACAACCAAGGAAATGTTTATAAAGTACTTTAAAACTTGCAAATACACCCACCAAAATAAAGAAAAACTGCAGGATGGCCCTGTACAGGTAAATAAAAAAAACCCATTTTGCAGTGAGGCTCCCAGCTGTTACTAAAATTAGCAGGCCAGGCTCCCTACAAACACTCGGCAAGGACACATGAGGTGTTACAGGTGACAGCAGCGTCAGGAGTCATACGTCCTGAAAAGACTCTCACAAATGTCAGGTCATTGCTAGTCCTTCCTAAAGTCCCTCGCTAAAAGTTCGACTCCTGTCCTTCTACTTGCAGGAGAAGAAATGGGGTGCGCACGATTTGGCTACTAATATTAACACCCATTTTATCTGGGTCGTCTGTGGATTATGCCAGCATGTGGTTTTACCTAGAAGATAAAAAACTAGAGAATATGATTTAATCAAATAATACACTTGTGACAATTATCCTTTATTATGTTAGGGATAATGATGCCACAAATGGAATCATCTTCATCTAAAATTTAGTGATTAAAACAAAAATTCCAAGATGATAATCAAAGACTCGGTGGCACACATGACTAAGGACACGCCTTTTATCTTTAGTAAAACAGGTCGGGGAGAGGTGCCTGGTGCCCCTGCCACACAGCAGCACACACGAGGCTCTTTTCTCACTTAATTGTTGTTTGCTGCCTCCACCGTCAAGCACGGGATTCAGTGAAGAGGAAAAGGCATAACGAGTGAAATAATATTCCCTGCAACATCTCAGTGCTTTACACAGAGGGGAGAGATGTTTATTTCCCGTGGAAAACACACTCAATAGACACAAGGACAGCAGAAAGAATCAAAATGCCGCTGGAAGACCAGGTGCCCGTTTCCGTCCACTGCCGCTGCCGATGCCCAGAGCCGGACGCCAGGGCCCCAAACTAGCAGCTGCTACAACTCCCCATTCCCGCCACGGAGATCCTTTCAATGTTAAAAGAGAAGTTAAATACAAGATGTGTTAACAGGAAATGTAGAAAAAGGGTGAGAATTGGGGCAACTAAAAGCCTTGGGGAGAAAAGAGACAGAAGGGTGCTGAACAGAATGAATAATTAGAATTCTTTCGTGATTGTCATAGGCAATTAGAAATTAAACCGAGTGTATAATGCAGCTAATGAAGTATACATGCTGGTGGTAAAATAGGCAATTTCCACTTATTATCACATTAAAACAAAAAAGGAAATAGGGAAAAGTCAGTCTAATTAAAAGATCCAGCGAGATTGGATAATAAGATTGTTTAGAAAGACTTGCACTGAGAAAAGAGGACACAGGTCACCAAGCCCGCGACTGGCCGACCAGAGGAGAGGCGCCTCCAGGACGAACCCGTGCTTCTCAGCCTCCCCGGAGCTCCTTCCATCCCACCTTCTATCACACTCCACGTCTTCAGAAACACGCTGGCGTGGGCCCACAGGGACTACCGCTCAGAGACTCCTGGTCAGTAAGCCAGGTTGGTTTAGTGGACACTTAACATGAGCTAGACCTGCTGACCCTAAAGTAGATTAAGGAAAAGACTGGCTTCACACACCAGGTGGCTCGGGTATACAGGATAACTCACCTGTCAATATTTACACAGTTGCTTTCTCATTTTACACTATGTACATGGTACACATATTGTCTATTTTTTTAAAATAAACTTTATAACTTAAGATTTATTTTGTCTTCTCAGAGAGCCTTCTCCAAACAATAATTCACTATCACAAAAGAACAAATGCGACCCCTGCAGTAACCCCCTCGATTTACTGGTCCTATCAAAACAAAGGCTGGACTGTCCTCATTCGAAACATCACATAAACACTTTTCATGAATTCGAACTAATACACGTCACATTTTTCCCTCTAGAAAATAGGCATTTCTCTTAGGAAACAGCACCACAAAGAGAACAATGGCCTTTTAACTATAATCTCAGAAAAACTGTAGCTCCCAAGAAAGATAGGTTTTTCAAGGATTTATACATAGGGTTTTCTCAGTACATTAGCTGGCTTATGAAAAGTTGGAATCTAAAAAACAAAAGGAAAAAAGTTGACATCTAGGCTACAACACATCCATATCGTTAAAAAAAATTTTTTTAATTCATCTTGCTTGTCAATTATGGTAAGTTTTGTTCTTTGGGGGACGGCGCCTAAACACTGCCCCTCCCCATCCCACTGCACCTCGACCTACTGCAATATGTCTGCTTTGCGGATGCAGATGTTACAAACACACACACACACACACACACACACACAAGCACATACAGATACATGTAAAATCACAGTCAACATTAGACAACAAATCTTTCTCTGCCTGAAATACAGACTTCTACTCAATGTGACAGTTCCATACAGACCCTTGGAATTTGCTGATTTTTTTTTTTTTAAGGTAAGCAATTTGTATTTGACTCACCTGACACTACACCTAATAGAGTGAGTTGCACAAAGAGATAAAAGACAGCAACGGGTAAAATCCACTGGACACTTACTACGTCCCATCAATCCTCACAGCAACTCTGAGTTAGCTGCTAGCAAAATCTACCTGTTACAGATAAGCAGCAGGCTTTTTAAAGAAGTTTATAAATACAGGGTTAGAAAAATTCAGTGACTTGCTTGGTCAACACAGGTTAGAAAGGAATAGGGCTTGAACACGAACTCAAGTTTTGGGTCTGATTCCAGTGCCTGAGTACAAATCCTGCTGCATCCAGCATTTAGAGAAGTTCCAAGAGCCATGTACTTAAGGTGGGGGACGGGAAACAAAAATCAGAGTGGGGAGAGGACACTACAGTCAAAACATTCCAGGCAAAGGTGACACGCGGCTTTATACAAGGAGAAAAACGCATTCTTCTCCTTCCTATAGTTCAGAGATAATCGCATCATGGCAGCACTTACAGGGCCAAAATTTACTATCTAGCTATAAAATCTGATTCAGAAGCTACCCCTGTCTTACCAGAAATTCTGTGCACGTAAATTTGGCCTCCCTTTTTCAAACAAAGAGCAAGCTGGAGGGGTAGATATGATTAGAATAAAAATGGCCCTGCACAGGAGTGCTCTAGAGGACACACAATGGGAATGAAGACCCACAGACAGGAGCTCCTTTATGAGCAATCTCACATAATCCACCCCCACACACCCTCACCCCTCTCTTTGAATGATTTCCATTCTGCATTCTATTTCACAGATTTTCATAGCCTCGGGACGCGAGAAAGATAGCTTTCCAACAGAGTGACTTCCCTATTAACTAAATTACTGCTTAGAGGACTTTCTTTCCAGCGATGACCTTCAAGGTCACACACTCTGATGAGATTAATGCTGCAGTTTTCCCATTCAATTTACAATCCTTTTGGCTGGTGCCCCTGAGGACTTAAACATAGTGAAAGCAGAACTGCCCAA